GGGTGCGCGCCCTCCCGCCTGCCCCGCCTCACGGCCCCGCTCCTCCGGGGCAGCCCGGGGAGTTGTGCGGGCCCCAGGTCCGGGGGGGCGGTCCGCACCGCCGCCAAGCCGGACCAGCGTCTCTCGTTCCTGGTGCGAGGCTGGACCGGCTTCAGCGTCCCCGAAACCCTCCTCGTCTGCAACCCGGCTTCCCCCGCGGGAGCCTGAGGCCGCCACGCCTGGTATCATCCTCAGGCCTGTCTGCTGCCAGGAGGACCGCTGTTTTGATCCGGTTTCATCCCGATGGGTTAGCACACGGAGCCGTCCTGGACCTTCCTGCCACCACCTCCACTGGCCGGACTGCTGCACCTAGCACCGGCTTTGGCTGATCCAGGACACGAGCCACATGCAGTGTCTGGTCCCACTAGGCTGGGGTGAGCACTGCGTGCAGCATGGGCACCACAGCGGGCACCATGTGTGATGCAGTCCCAGACGGACCAGAGTTGGATCCAGCCTGCAGGGTGAGGGGGAGACTGTGGGCCCCCACATGCCAGATCTGGCACGTGGTGTGGCTGGGCCAGAACTGCACCACATGCAGCATCTACCCCAGCCTGTTTGGGACCTGCACCACATGTGGCACCTGCCCTGAACCAGCTGAAGCAAACACCATGTGTGGCTCAGGTCCCCATCTGGCTGGAGTAGGCACCAAGTGCAGTGCAGTCCCAGACCAACCTGAGCAAGTGCCATGAGCACAAGATCCAGCAGGTGCGGGGCAGGGATCTGGCTCATGGGGCCAGCCCCTCGCCATTCACCCAGCCTATGGACCTGTTCCACACCACTCACCTGGTTCATGGGGCCACATGAGTTTGATACCGCTGGTTTACCTCACTGCTACAGGAGCATGCAGATATAACAGTTAAATCTGAACAGCTGATAAATGCTCCTGAATAACAAGTCTCTCCCTTTTTAAAGCAATTTAAAGTTACATTTGGCCACAGCCAATAGTTTAGTAAAAGCAGGGTTTTACAAAACTCATGGCTCAGGTCAAATTAGAGCTAGGACCTTCCCTAATGCTAGCTAGGGCCTTCCCCAATGCTTAGAGATTATCAGGATCTCTCTTGTGTCCTGTCCTCATAAGGGAAGAGAAAGTTGCTCTCAGAGAAGCAGAATCCCTGCAGAGTTTTTTGTGCAGTGAATGAGCCAATAGCTTCAAGACTGATAGCCTCTTCCCATCTGGTTCCATTCAGTTGTGGTGCGAGACACCTGTCAGCAGACAGGCAAATCTGGCATACAAAGTTATGCTCAGAGCCAGCATATTATTATGTACTGGTTGAGTACTTCTGGTGCGCTTGATACAGGAGAAAAGTATAAAGGACAAATAAGCTCCAAGTGCGGGTGTGGGAATTGGTAAAACTCTGTGCACATCTAGCCCAAAATGGAATAGGTTAGAGATTACTGTGTTTCTAATGATCTTTTACTGAATTAGAAGGGCAGGTGTCAACCTATGCCACTGCCATATCAAGAAAAGCTTAGGAGCCTCTGGGTCTCCAGGGATTGGTAGTGGCCAACTCTACTGAAGCAGTAGTGTAATCTGTTGCTTTGAGAGAGACCAGAGAAAAATCAGGAGTATGAACTGCACCACTCTCCAGCACTCACTCCCTATAGACCTATTTAACAAAGCAGCATGACTACCAGACCACAGTATCGTGAACACTTGACCAGGCAGGAAGCCGGAGAGAACCGGTGGGAGAGGGGCAAGGGTGTCAGTGACTGAAAACACCTCAGGACAGAGACATGATGTCTTACAAGGTGAAGTAGATGACGCCCAAGACGCTGCTAGTGCAAGACAAATAATAACGACAATAATCACTCTTCTCAAAATTACAATTAGGAAGTACCTTGCATCAGATATTTCCCTGGGATCTTGTGGGAATGTACAAGACAAGCATGATATCTTTATGAGACACTTTGAGCTCTGCTTGCTCATTGATCTTACAAGAACCACACGAAAGATTCACCAGAGACACATGAGAAGAGGAAGATAGCAACCGCACAATCACAGCATGGGAGAGGTCATGTCATTGTGGCATCTGAGCAAAAGTAACACATGGTTACAAAAGGTACATGGTTGCTTTAATCTTAATAAAACCCCACTTATTTAAAAAAAAATACTAACAGATTTTTTTTTTTTCCATAAGCCTAGGATGGATAAGGAGTGCTGCACTCAAAGACCTCTGCCAGTACTTATTTTTTTTGGCTTGCACCACTCCCTGAAATAAAATGGTTGCTTTGTTAATCTTCAGCACAGAATCAGACCTTCCCACCATGACACTGAGGGCTGCAGTACCCTGGCTCATAAGTAAAAGTTACCTGGTCAAAATCTCTGAACCTTAATCTCAAAAAGTTTTAACATTGTTATGATCAGAGTGACATGTTGCATGTAACCTCTCTAACTCTCTCCAGCAGCAATATACTCTGTTACTAACAACAGTCTGCCAGGTCTCCCTAATGATGTACACCTCCTAAGCAGGTGCTGCAGACGGCACTGCACAATGGGACATCAGAGATTCCCAGGGTTCAAGGCCGAGAAGGAACTATCTAGTTTGCACTTACAATCACAGAAACACAGAGCAGTAAGGTTGGGAGAAATTTCGTAAGGTCACCTAGACCAACCCCCTTCATGAGTCCAGATCATTTCTACCCAAACCACCCCATACAAATCCACTGTCCAAACTTTTAGCAAAACTACAGTCAACGCATAACAGTACAAGACATAACACCTTTGCCTGCCACCAGCAAAGCAGGGTGGCCAATATTCTTCTGCTGTAAAGGTTGCTAATATACACTCCAGGGATTCCAGGAAGAGAGCCACACCCCTCACTACAGAGGACAGCAAAAACACCATAGTCCATACCAACCTGACCATAACGTAAAATTCCTTACTGACCCCAAATGTGACAATTGGTCTGACCCTGAGTGGAGGGGTAAGATACTGTAGCCAGGAACCTCCAGGTTTAAGTCCCAGATGGAGCACCGGCACACCCCAGTCACCATTCCTAGCCTTGGCTGCAGCCAACCCCCAGTGACTCTGCGGAAGGCTTAAAATAACCCTGACGCATGTAGCAGCAGGTGGGAAGAGGCAGAGAGCAGGAATCCCTCCTAGCTCCATGTGACAACCAGGAAACCCAGAAGCATGGGAAATACCCATAGCAAAACATAGGTATAGCTATGCCTAGATCATCCCCAACCAGTGACTGTCCAACCACTTCTTGACCACCTCCAGTAATGCAGACTCCACAGCTTCCCTAGGCAGTCTGTTCCACTGCCTCACTGTTCTAACTGAAGAACTTTTTCCTGATGTTCAGTCTAAACCTACTTCACTATAACTTCAAGCCATTGGTCTGCATCCCACTATGTAGCAAGAGAGACAAGGTGTTCTCCCTCTTCTTTATGGCAGTCCTTTAAGTATTTGAGACTGCCAGTGCGTCTCCTCTTATGAACCTTTTGCACAAGCGTAGCTCCTTCAACCTCTCCTCACATGACTTGCCTTCCAAACCATTTATCATTTTGTCACCCATCTCTGGATTCTCTAACTTTTCCATGTCCTTCAGTACATTACTTCCCACCAGTCAACTCAGCTGTAAATGGGTACTTTGTCATTCAGGCTAAGGAATCAAAGGTGGCTCTACATGATGCTGTCACCTCACTCTTGTGTGGTGTTGACCATAAAAGCTGGTCTGTCTTAACTACAGGTGAGCTATTTAGCTCTTATAGACCTTTTGATTTTTGTTTACTGAACCCAGTACTATCACCAAAGCATA